ATCCCTCCTCCTGCGCCGGGGATCCCCCATCGCAGAGCCCCACCGGGGCTGCCCCATTCCCGGCAGTGTCAGTTCAGGTTAATCCAGCCCCTCGGGAAGCTCCTCATCTCCCTCCTTAACCAGTGCTGATCCCAGGAACGGGTCCCGGTTTCCGGCCTCCCCAGGAAAGCAGCGCTCGCCTGCTCCGGGGAAGGTGCTCCCTGACGTGAATCCCGGTGAGATCCCGACTCCCTGTTTCCCTCTGGGAAGTGGGAAGTTTCTTCGTTGTTCCGAAGGGCTTTGGGAACCCTGTGCCATGGAAACCACAAGGAAGGAATGGAAAGTTCTGTGCTGCGGAGGTGACCCACGCTGTGGGGATCAGCCCAGCACATGGAGGGTCCTGCGGTACCCCAGCTCCTTCTGGACACCCCCAAGTTCTTCTCAGGCTGCTCTGTTCATCTCCTGCAGCCTGTGGTGGGGTTTGGGGTTGCCCCGACCCAGGGGCAGGACCTTGCCGTTGGCCTGGCTGAGCACTAGCAGGTTCCCACCTCTGCAGCTGGTCCTGGTCCCTCTGGATCCCATCCTGTCCCTCAGCGTGTCACCGTGCCAGCGGCTCTGTGTCACCAGGGCTGGGCTGGCCATGGGTTTGTGCCTCACGGACACCCAAACCCCGCTGGGGGGTTCCCAGGTGGAGAAATCCACAGCAAGGGGTCGGCACATGGAGGGCAGGGAACGGCACAGGTGGAGGCAGATGACCTACACCTAGAGGTGACCTATAGAGGTATCCATACACTTACAGATCCCACACCTAGAGGTGACCTATAGAGGTATCCATACACTTACAGATCCCACACCTAGAGGTGACCTATAGAGATATCTGTACACTTACAGATCCCACACCTAGAGGTGATGTGCAAACCTCTAAACCCCACTGAGCAGCTTGTTTTCTGCCCACCCCTGTTGGTTTCATCCATTGTTTCCAAACAAGACTCTAAAGCACCAGAACAAACCAAGAAACCACCAAAAGGTGAATGAACATTTCCCTGCAGGTCCAGTTGTGGAGAACCATGGCATCAGCCAGGTTGGGAAAGGGCTTCAGGATCATCCAGTCCAATCACTGCCCCAAGGCCACCACTAACCCCTTGGCACTGAGGTCTCAGCTACACGGGCTGTGAACACTTGCAGGGACGGTGCCTCCAGCCCTGCCCTGGGCAGCCTGTTCCAATGCCTGAGCACCCTCTGGGCAAGGAATTGTTCCTCAGCTCCAGCTAAACCTGCCCTGGGGCAGCTTGAGGCCGCTTCCTCTTGTGCCATCCCTTGTTCCTTGGGAGCAGAGACCAGCCCCCTCCTGGCTCCATCCTCCTGTCAGGCAGTTGCAGAGAGCGATCAGGTCCCCCCTGAGCCTTCTCTTCTCCACACTAAACCCCTCAGGTCCCTCAGCCCTTCCTCATCACACTTGCACTCTAAAAGCACGATGTAGAATGAATGTTGAGTTCCTGCTCCTTGGTTTCACCCCTGAGGAGCAGAGACTGGATTTCCACCATTTCATTTGGTGCTAGGATGGAAAATAAAGCATTTATTCACAGTGTTGTGTATTCAGATTCTTCTGCTGCTGCAGTGATGGATGCTCAGCATGTTGGTTGCAGGCAAAGTGTGTTCACATCATCTCATTCATGGGGGATAAAAGACATCCTGAACATCAGAGATCATGGAATCATGGGATGGTTTGGGTTGAAGGGATTGTAAAGCTCCTCCAGCTCCAACCCCTGCCCCAGGCAGGGACACCTTCCACTAGAGCAGGTTGCTCCAAGCCCCTGTGTCCAACCTGGCCTTGAACACTGCCAGGGATGGGGCAGCCACAGCTTCTCTGGGCACCCTGTGCCAGCGCCTCAGCACCCTCCCAGGGAAGAGCTTCTGCCTCAGAGCTCATCTCAGTCTCCCCTCTGGCAGGTCAAAGCCATTGCCCTTGTCCTGTCCCTCCATCCCTTGTCCAAAGCCCCTCTCCAGGTCTCCTGGAGCCCCTTTAGGCACTGGAGCTGCTCTAAGGTCTCCCCTTCAGGAGCCTTCTCCAGGCTGGAGCGTTCCCCTTTGAGCCCTGCCCGTGCTCAGGGGCTGGGGCTGGTGCCCAGGTGGGAATGGAGCAAAGCCTCTTGGAATGCAAATGCCGGGAGCA